GTCCAAAGAGGATGTGGAAGAGGTGGTGTTATAAAGAAAGCGTGGAATAGATGGTGTCCAAAGAGGATGTGGAAGAGGTGGTGTGCAAAGAGGATGTGGAAGAGGTGGTGTCCAAAAAGTATGTGGAAGAGGTGGTGTCCAAAGAGGATGTGGAAGAGGTGGTGTCCAAAGAGGATGTGGAAGAGGTGTTGTCCCCAGGGAGCGTTGAAGAGGTGGTGTCCAAATAGGACGTGGAAGAGGTGGTATCCAAAGAGGATGTGGACGAGGTGATTTCCAAAATGAATGTGGAAGAGGTGGTGTCCCCAGGGAGCGTTGAAGAGTTGGTGTCCAAAGAGGATGTGGAAGAGGTGGTGTCCAAAGAGGATGTGGGTCCAAGAAAGGTGGTGTCCAAATTGGATGTGGAAGAGGTGGTGTCTAAAACAGCACATGGAAGAGGTGGTGTCCAATGAGTATGTGGAAGAGGTGGTGTCCGTAGAGGATGTGGGAAAGGTGGTGTCATCAAGGAACATGGAAGAGGTGGTGTTCAAAGAGTATGTGGAAGAGGTGGTGTCCATAGAGGATGTGGAAGAGGTGGTGTATGGAAGAGGTGGTGTCAAAAGAGGATGTGGAAGAGGTGGTGTCCAAAAAGGATGTGGAAGAGGTGTTGTCCCCAGGGAGCGTGGAAGAGTTGGTGTCCAAAGAGGATGTGGAAGAGGTGGTGTCCAAAAAGGATGTGGAAGAGGTGGTATCCAAAGAGGATGTGGACGAGGTGGTGTACAAAAGAGGATGTGGTAGAGAGGTGGTGTCCGCTGGGAACGTGGAAGAGATGGTATCCAAAGAGGATGTGGAAGAGGTGGTTTCCAAAAAAACATGTGCAAGAGGTGGTGTCCGCTGGGAACATGGAAGAGGTGGTGTCCAAAGAGGATGTGGAAGAGGTGGTGTCCAAAGAGGATGTGGAAGAGGTGTTGTCCCCAGGGAGCGTGGAAGAGTTGGTGTCCAAAGAGGATGTGGAAGAGGTGGTTTCCAAAAAGAATGTGGAACAGGTGGTGTCCCCTGGGAACGTGGAAGAGGTGGTGTCCAAAGAGGATGTGGAAGAGGTGGTGTCCAATGAGTATGTGGAATAGGTGGTGTCCAAAGAGGATGTGGAAGAGGTGGTGTCCAATGAGTATGTGGAAGAGGTGGAGTCCATAAGGAGGACATGGAATAGGTGGTGTCCAAAGAGGATGTGGAAGAGGTAGAGCCCATAGATGATGTGGAAGAGGTGGTGTCCGCTGGGAACGTGGAAGAGGTGGTGTCCAAAAAGGATGTGGAAGATGTGGTGTACAAAGAGGATATGAACAAGTGTTGTCAAAAGAGGATGTGGAAGAGGTGGTGTTCAAAGATAACGTGGAAGAGGTGGTGTCCCAAGGTTATGCGGAAGAGGTGGTGTTCAAAGGGAATGTGATAGAGGTGGTGTCTAAAGAGGATGTGGCCAACAAGGATGTGGAAGAGGTGGTGTCCAAAAAGGATGTGGAAAGGATGTGGAAGAGATGTGGTGTCCAAAAAGGATGTGGAAGAGGTGGTGTTAACTGGGAACGTGGAAGAAGTAGTGTCCTCAAGGAACATGGAAGAGGTGGTGTCCAAAGAGGATGTGGAAGAGGTGGTGTCCAAAGAGGATGTGGAAGAGGTGGTGTCCAAAGAGGATGTGGAAGAGGTGGTGTCTAAAAAGTATGTGGAAGAGGTGGTGTCCAAAAAGGATGTGGAAGAGACGATGTCCAAACAGGATGTGGAAGAGGTGATGTTATAAGGTAAGCGTGAAATATGTGGTGTCCAAAGATGATGTGCAACAAGTCATGTCAAAAGAGGATGTGGAAAAGGTGGTGTACAAAGAGGATGTGGTAGAGATGGTGTCCAGAAGAGGATGTGGAAGAGTTGGTGAGATGTGGTGTCCAAAGAGGATGTGGAAGAGGTGGTGTCCAAAGAGGATGTGAAAGAGGTGGTGTCCAAAGAGGATGTGGAAGAGCTGGTGTCCATGGAGGATGTGGAAGAGGTGGTATCCAAATGGAATGTGGAAGAGGTGGTGTCCAAAAAGGATGTGGAAGAGATGATGTTATAAAGAAAGCGTGGAATAGGTGGTGTACAAAGAGGATGTGGAAGAGGTGGTGTCCAAAAAGGATGTGGAAGAGGTGGTGTCGAAAAGAGCACATGAAAGAGGTGTCCAAAGAGGATGTGAAAGAGGTGGTGTACAAAATGAATGTGGAAGAGGTGGTGTCCAAAGAGAATGGGGAAGAGGTGGTGTCCAAAGAGGTGGTGTCCCAAGGAAATGTGGAAGAGGTGGTGTCCAAAAAGGATGTGGAAGAGGTGGTGTCCAAAAAGTATGTGGAAGAGGTGGTGTCCTCAAGGAACATGGAAGAGGTGGTGTCCAAAGAGGATGAAAGAGGTGGTGTCCAAAGAGGATGTGGAAGAGGTGGTATACAAATAGGATTTGGAAAAGCTCGTGTCCAGTAGAGGATGTGGAAGAGGTGGTGTCCCAAGGAAATGTGGAAGAGGTGGTGTCCAAAAAGGATGTGGAAGAGGTGGTGTCCAAAAAGGATGTGGAAGAGGTGGTGTCCAAAAAGGATGTGGAAGAGATGATGTCCAGAAGAGGATGTGGAAGAGGCGGTGTCCACATAGGACGCGGAAGAGGTAGTGTGCATTGATGATGTGGAAGAGGTGGTGTTCAGAAGAGGATTTTGAAGAGGTGGTGTCCACCCATCGTACTGAACAGCCATACAGCAGTCAGACTGAGAAACTGTCCAGCCATCTAACTGAACAGCCACCCATCCATCTGATTGAACAGTCACCCAGCCTTCAGACTGACAAGCCATCCAACCATCAACCTGAACAACCACCCACCCATCTAACTGAACAGCCATCCAGCCATCAGACTAAACAGTCACCCAACCATCAGATTGAACAACCATCTATCCATCAGATTGAAAAGCCATCCAGCCATAAAACTAAACAGCCATCCATCAATCAGAATGAAGAACCATCTGACAGAGGAGTCATCAAGCCATCAGAACGAACATCCATCCAGCCATCCGACTCAACTGCCATCAAGCTGAAGAGTCACCCAGCCATTGGACTAAACAGCCACCTAGTCATCATTCTGAACAACCACTCACCCATCTGACTGAATAGCCATTAGATTGAACAGTCGCCCAGCCATCAGACTAAACAGCCACCCAGTCATCAGACTGAACAGCCACCAAGTCATCAGACTCAACAGCAATGCAGTCGTCAGATTTAACAGCCACCTAGTCATCAGACTAAGCAAACATCTAGCCATCCGACTGAACAACCACCCACCCATCTGATTGAATATTCATCAGACTGAACAGTCACCCAGCCATCAGACTGACCAGCCATCCAACCATCAGACTGAACAGCAACCAAGCCATGAGACAGAACAGCTACCCAAACATCAGACTCAACAGCAACCCTATATAAGACAGAACAGCCATCCAACCATCAGACTGAACAGCCACCTATCCATAGGACTGAACAGCCATCAGACTGAAGAGCAACCCATCCATAAGACAGAGCAGCCATCCAACCATCAGACTGAACAGCCACCTATCCATATGACTGAACAGCTACCCTTCCATCAGACTGAACAGGCGCTGAACAATCTGACTGAATAGCCACCCAACCATCAGATTTAGCAGCCACCTATCCATAAGACTGAACAGCTACCCTTCGATCAGACTGAACAGCCACCCACCCATTTGACTGAACAGCCATTAGACTGAACAGCCACCCACCCATTTGACTGAACAGCCATTAGACTGAACAGCAACCCAGCCATGATACAGAACAGCCATCAAGACACAGCCACCCTTCCATCAGACTAAGAACAGCCACCCATCCATCTGACTCAACAGCCATTAGACTGATAAGCTACCCAGCCATCAGACTAAACAGCCACCCAACCATCAGATTGAACAGCCATTCATCCATCATATTGAACAGCCATCAGACTAAACAGCCACCCTTCCATCAGATTGAACAGCCATTCATCCATCATATTGAACAGCCATCCAGTCATCAGACTAAACAGCCATCCAACCATCAGATTGAACAGCCATTCATCCATCATATTGAACAGCCATCCAGCCATCAGACTGAACAGCCATCCATCCATCAGACTGAAAGCCACCCCTTGACCAAGCTGAAGGACCACTCAGTAACCATACTCCATTGACAAGGCAACCAAATGTCTTCATAATAAACTGTCAACCCGGCAAGTTAAAGTACTGTGCAAATAGGTAGAGTGAAATTGTCTAATATCTGAACTGAACTGATAATGAGTTATCATTTGTTAAATTATTTCCAATTTCTGTTTGAGCTTTTACAAATTGTCTAATATATTAACTGAACTGAAAATGAGTTATCATTTGTTAAATTATTTCCAATCTCTGTTTGAGCTTTTACAAATTTATCTTTATTTTTTTAAGCAACCCCACTATTCATGGAACATTTAGTATATGGAATATTAATTAGAAAAATGGGGATTTAACCCCACCACCTAACTAATTTCAAAACATGTGCCTCTCACCCCTCACACTGTTTATTCTGGAATATCCCTGATTACTTTTCCCAATTAAAAACTATAAAAATAATGTAAACTGAAGTCAATATCTTATAAAGTTATCTTAATTATTAAATAACTTGTGATGACATGTGAACAAGGATTTCATATTAAATTGCAAGATATCAACTTCAGTTTTACTGAAGTTTTAATGAATGATTGTGTTTTAAATTTAAATTTGATTTATTAGGAAACTGTTCTCATCTGTATATATGAAGTAAACATTATTATTATTTTATAGAATGCTATAGAATTGCCATACAAATTCTATACCGCTTGTACAGGAGTTTTCACTAAGACTTTAACAGTGATGATTCTTTGTATTCAAATTAAAGTAAATAAATAAATAGATAAATAAATAAATGAATAGATAAACCAAACAGCCAAAGAATGTTGGCTCAGATCATTATTCATCATTTAACTCAAAATGTTTTACTCTTTTCAGGTTGATGAATGGCCGTGGGTTATGTACTTTGCAAAGAAAAAAAGCCTTTGGATTTTAAACGAGATGAAGTAAACTGTCATAGCAACTGATGTTTTGGAAAAATTGAACATTCCTGAAATCAGTGTTGCTGGTTCTCTCTCCTCTTTATTACAAATTCCAGGTGTGTAGATATATGCAGCAAAAACATCAGTCATTATGTATTAAATGAATTGTTAAATAAAAATATTTTTGAAGATAAGTTAAGTTTGAAGTTAACCCAGTTAAATTATAAAATGTGAAAAGCACCAAGCAGTGCACACTGAAGCAAAAGACACAGTATCAATGGTTTATAGATGTATTGCATCACACATTTAATATTTTACATACATTCTTGTCTTTCTCATTTCATTTTTTTTTTCATTTTCATCTGGAAGACACGAAGTGAAAATTTTGTCAAGAAAAATTCTCTGGAGCCATGTGAATAATAACACACCCTGAATTGATATGAAAACAAATTATTGCTTCATAATAAAGCTGAAGATTCGTAACAATAATAATTTTTGTGTTAACTAAAGACTGACACAATCTTATTTTCTTACTGCAACTATTATGGTGAGCTCCTTGCTTGGAGGTATTGTGTTTGGCAAACATGAAGCATTGTGTATTATACCCCAACCCAAAATAGAACTGTGCAATCATACATACAAGTGCAAGCAGATTTACTTAACACACTGCAAACTATTTGTGATATATGCTAATGTAAAGATGATACAGTTTTTATTCAAAATCTGCCCACTTTACAATTCACAGAAAAACAGATGACAATATAACATACAAGCAGAGGTTAGTTAATGGGTTATGGGAAATACAGTGCATGCCAATTATATATGATCAAATACACACAAAATTTGATTTTAGATTAAATTTACTGAATTACAAAAAATAAGATGTCAAATTGGAAAATTTTCCAGTTTCCAGCATCTAAAGTTAGATTTAAAACTAGTTCTAAGTTGACCTGTAAAATTAGAATATTAAATTAAAGATACATGTACATATATTTGGATATTCAAATGAATTTTGGTACACTTAATTGAAATGTAACATTCAGTTTCAGCGAGATTTAACTGCAATTAAGGATTCTATTACCTAAGTAGAAATTACTTAATTTATAATACAACAAATCAGGGAAATATCAAGTGTAAACAGCTGCACTGACTAGCATCAGTCAAAATGCCAAAGGGAATTTCCGTGTAGATATGCACAACATCAAACAATGAATGGCATCTGTACACTTACTCAACATCAATCAAAGGTGTTCAATCATTAATAGAGTATGATCACTGGCTACATTTGTTTACCTTTAGTTACGCACCAGAGAAATAAAATGAAGCGAAAAAATAATAACGGCTGTCCCAGAAATAAAAATGGTTGTAATACAAAATCTAAATGTTGTAGTTTATATGAATTTGTTTTAAAGAAAAATAGGCTTTTTTCATCAAGTTAATTCATTTTTCAACAGATATGAGCAGATCAGTTATTATTCACTAGGAAAAATGTCAAAGTCAGGGCTCGACAATAAAGCTTGCCTGACTTATCCGTACCAGTGCAAAATCAGGTCGGACAAGTACATCTCCTATGTCACTTGTCAATTTGGACAAGTGAATTTCGGCAAAGTGACTAAATCATTTGTTAAAATCAACTAAAACATTCCTCTACCAAATTGCACTTTTTATTGTTTTATCTTTGGCGTAATCAATTGATTCCATCGAGATCAAATACTGAGCCTAAAATAATAATCATTGTTTGCATTGTTCTGTAGGATAAAGTCAGTGATGTTCCAAAAACGATTGTAATCTCTGTCAATTATGCGTTTGTTTAGAAAGGCTGTTTCAAGCTTTTAGGTAACCTTGATTTGTTTTCATATTCCCATGACGATGCCCGAAAATCTCATACGTCTAATGGATCGGAATGTTACCCACTCAAATCCTATATTTATCGACTACTTTATCCTATTTCTCGTGTTATATCAAATGACCTATAAATAGATATGGATGCTTTGCTATCTATATTTTCTAATAGAAAAAGTTCAGATATGAATACTAATGATTGTAAATTTCAAGAAAAGATCAAATAACAAATATAAAGTTCAGTACGACTGAGGAATCAGCTTGGGTCGCGCGTCTGCTAACTGATCAATTATCAGTGACCGCAGTATGAGGAGATCAGGTAGGGTAGTATGGTGAGATCAGAATTTACATCACGGCGTATACAAAACACATAGAGGCAAATTTATCATACAATTGGTTCGTTATTTCTTAATTGATTACCTTCAGGTAAATATTTCCCCACAGTCTGACACCGTCTTCACAATTACTTTTTTTCCAATAGTATTTTTTATGTTCTTTTTTCCTTAGATCTTATACGTATTAATTCAAGAATTTAAACGGAAAGAATCGTAATGCATATATTACAGAATCGTCTAGACCTTGGAGTACTATTGTATCGACCAAATTCAACTAAAAAACAATCACGGCACAGGTTCACGTATTTTAGTTATAAGAATTCTACATTTTAATGACTGATATACTTAGTTAATTAACATGGTAAAGTAATATTATTAGTAAGGTGTTTAGATGTTGTCAACCTTAGTAAAAAGTAAATAGTTATATCTTGGTAAAATTTGTCATTGGTTCTCTTTCCAATACATATCCGAAACCAAATGAAACAAAAAACATTTCTTTTTTTTTTCTTTACAAAATTAACACATTTCACACCATATGATTTCTCGTATTTCCATATCTAAAAAAAGTCATATGCACGATTCAAAATACAATTTCCTGACGTAAGTAATTAAAACAGATATCTAGTTATTCCCTAAATTCCTGTAACATTCAAGTGGAAAATGATCTAGTTTACAATATATCATAAGAAATGTGTACGAACCTTTTCAATATCATTTGCTTTTGGTGATCCCAATTTCTATCATCTATCGTTACAAATGATGCCAACACACCTATCAAACGGCGGAGTATATTCTCAATATTGAAGCTCACATTTCTACATTTTGTAAACATTGCAAACATGCAGTGCTTTTCTACCTTGGTTAGAAAGCGGGTTT